TTGGGGGGCTGAAAACTCTGGTTGTTTCAGCATATCATCTGCCTATAGGTGGTGTGAAAACAGTTTGTAATCTACTGATTATGGTACTATCTCCAAGATGATTTGGCAGAATGTTTCTACACCTAAAGCAAAAGCTTTTGTGTGGCTAGCTTGGAGACAAAGGCTAAAAACATCCTCTTTCCTTCATCGGATTGGTGTCGTTCCTGCTACTGCTAATATCCAATGTGTGTTTTGCAAAGATGAAGCAGAGTCGATCAATCATGTTTTGTTATGGTGTCCTTTTGTCTGGAGGGTTTGGGCTGATATCTTTCTCTGGTGGGGGTCTCAATGGGTTATGCCGGCAACAGTGGATGGAGTTTTACAGTTTTAGGCTAGATTTTCAGGTAATAGTTTTGAGAGAAAAGTCTAGAATGTTTTACCTATTGCTTCCTTGTGGTCCATTTGGAAACATAGGAATAAGGTGTTGTTTATGTGATCTAATTAAAACCAGGACTGCTATGTGGGTTAGAGCTTTTGATTCGAGGCTGCCTTTCTCTCTCAATGATTTTTTGTTTAACTTACAACAAATTAAGTTTTGTAGAAGAGAGATAGGTTGAATCTGTGCCTGTCCTATTTTCTCTTCTGTGTGCTGCTGGTTTGGTGTGTTCTTAGACTTCTCTTCTCTTCTGATTGGTGCTGTCTTCGGTAGAAGTATCCTCGATGGGATTTTAATTGCAAATGAAATTGTTGACTGGTGGAAGAAAACCAAAAGAAGTGGTATTATTCTGAAACTTGATTTCGAAAAGGCCTATGACTCTGTTAATTGGTCCTTTTTGCTATCTATGATGAAGAATTTTGGTTTTGGAGCAAAGTGGCTGGCTTGGGTGCAGGAGTGTATATCGAATATTCGAGTCTCAGTTCTTGTGAATGGTTCTCTCACATCGGAGTTTAGTCCATCTCGAGGCCTTAGGCAAGGGGATCCTCTTTCCCCTTTCCTTTTCAATATGGTTGCTGAGGGCCTTAACATCTTGTTGACCAGGGCTAGGGAGTTAAATTTATTCAAGGGTGCTATTCTTGGGGCTAACAAAATTTCAGTGTCCCATCTTCAATTTGCTAATGATTCTGTTATTTTTTGTGAGGCAAAATGGGGGGAAGTGGTGAATATTAAAAAAAAAAAAAAGGATATGGTATGTATATTGTGATTGATTGATGGGAGTGTTATATAGAGGTGCTAAGTTCCTTCCAATTAGTATCTAGTAAAATGGTTTGTGCTTCTAATGAGAAATATCAAATTTCCTGTCAGCTAGCGCCTGGTAAAGTGGGGTGCACTTCTAATTAGAGGTACTAATTTCATTCCAACTAGCGCCTTGTAAGGTGGGGTATGCTTTTAACAAGAGGCATTAGTTTCCTTCCAATTAGTTCCTAGTAAAGTGGTTGCGCTTTGAATGATGGGTTCTAAATTCCATCTAACTAGCGCTTGGTAAAGTGGATGGTTGTGACTTGATGAAGTTGGATCACATTATGCTATGTGATAGTAGCTGATGATGTTATGATAGATGATTAAAGTGAGTAATTGAAATTGTTAAATCATTTAAATTATCTGGTGTTTGTTAATTAAATAATTTGGACATGAGGTCCTATTGCTAGTTGATGAGCTTGATAACTGTGGATCTATTTAATTTAATGAGATATAAGTTATTTAAATGAGATATGAGTATGCTTATTGATATCTTGTAAATTATGGGTTTATTTAAGTTAATCGTCATGGGTTAATTAAATGAATGTATTGAAATTGAGACATTACCAATAGTCATTATAACTTGTGTTTTCATTTAAGTTAACTAGTGTGAGTCATTAAAATGTAATGTACTTGATACTTTGTTCGTGACCATTGTGAATTGTTTAACTACTGAATTTAACTGTGATGTGTTAGTTGAATAGATTAAAAAGGATATTTTGTGGACATTTGGAGCATGTTTATTTATTTAAATTAATTACTTCGGGTTAATTAAATAAATTAAATTTAAGAGATTATATAAATAAAATCATAAAATTTTGACATGATATGATTTTGCATATATGTATGAGTATCATTATACCTTCATATCTTTTAATATTATAACATGAGATTACTTGGTGAGTTAGTGGTTTACTCATTCCCAGTCTGTACATGTATACATAGTGTGTGAGTGATTTTCTGATCACACTGCCCATTTAGTAATTAGCTAGAGAGCACCGGCAGAATAGATGGCTTCAGCTAACCTATAACAGAAAGAAAAGGCTCTGGTGGTGGCTCATCCACCCGGGGGCACTCCGACGATCAAGTCAGTATATCTCTCAAAGATATTCAAGTGCTAAACTCACTACTGAAAGCATAAAATTGCATACCTTAGACCCACGGGGGTGCCTCTCTTTTATAGTTACCTTAATCCTAGTCTTACTAGAAGCCTGACTTCTATGGACTCCAACTCATTACTTACTTTGGACTCTTCAAGAGATAAAGATAAACTCTCTAAGAGTTTTATCCTTATCTTGGCTAAGTCTCCTCTTTATCCTAGGACTCTGGTCCCTTATCCGTTTATCTCGGATTCCGATATCTTCGGAGATAACCTCAGCCTTACCGAGATCACCTCGGCGTCTCCTCCAGGACACGTGGCACCTCGGCTAACACATCGGCGTCACCTTGCCACGTGTTGGAACTCAGAAAATATATCCCCACAACTGCCCCCTAGGTTCTATTACCTTGGCATTCTGAGGTGATGGAACCTATATCATTCTGTTTATCCAGTACGTCGGTTTTCAGTATCTCTGTCGAGATCATTCATTTCAGGCCGACATGCTTTCCCTAAAAAATCAAGATTTTTAAGGACCTTCTTACGCGCATGAGCTGTCATACACTTCAACCCAACCGTTTTAGCCACGCGTTTCCCTCTTACTGGTCCGTACACATGACGCGTCTGTTAGCCGCCTCCTTCTTCATGTTCGTCGTCTGACGCCCTCGTTCTTCTAGGCGTATTGATTGCTTTTGCCGCCGTTTCTGTTTAATCAAAAACTTTTCCCTTTTTTCCGTCTTCTTCATTTTTGCATCTAAGTTCTCTTGCTTTTTCTTTCTCTAAAGCTCTTTCTTTCAAATCCGCCATTGCTCAAGCTTCCAAACTCTGTAATTGCCTTTCGTTCTTCCTGTGAAGTTCTCGTTGTCTTCGTTACATCTGTAACTGTCGTCTGACTTTGGCAATCTTCATACTGGCTTCATATTTTCTGGTAAGCATCTGTCTCTTTCTATTCCAGTTTTTGATCTTTTCTGAAATTTCTTGTTTACTACTGTTTTGTTTAAATAATCAATTTGTAAATCATACATCTGAATGTGTTGATTTTTCTTTTTGCTTATGCCCTGAATACATGTACTGTTCTTAGTTTTTCTTGCACGCCTTACCACTGTTCTTGGCCTTCAACCCTTTGTATTTCTCATGTTCCTGATAGTCCATCTCTGTTCTTGACTCTAAAACTTCGTATTTGTTTTCTGTTTTCTATGTCTTTTCCAGATCTGTGCTTTTGATCTTCATCTTGATAGCTTTAGGTTTGGGATTTGTATGTAGAACCCACGATTTAGGGCAAAACTGAAACATTCCTTACAAATTTCTGTGCCAGCCCAAACCTAGGTTTTTGCCAAGGTCCCATCAAATAGAAAACATCTTCTTTCTGAATTTCAACCCTTCTAATTCAGGCCGATATCATGGGTATGTGGAGACATAGGGTAGATACCCCGACCAAACTTGAGTACTTTAGGCAAGAGTTCTCCATCCCTGCCAATGTCCATCTGAGATTGGCTGGGGATGATGACTCCATCATGCCTACAGAAAACGCCATGCCCCTTCCCATTGTAGCTTTTACTGAGTGCGGACTTCGGCTCCCACTCAACATCCTTTTTCGCGAGATTCTTCATTATTATAAGTTGAACCCCGTGCAACTGGCAATCAACTCTTATCGAGTGATTTTTGGTATTATCGCCTTAGCTAAACAGGAAAACGTTAGGATCACCCTAGCCGACATACAGTATTGTTACACCATGTGTGCCCTTAACTTGAAAGAAAAAGGCTTCATTTATTATCTTAAGCCGAGGTCTACAGAATTCAAAATCATAGCCGACCTCCCAGACTCCAACAAGGGGGCTAGAGATGACTATCTCATTACCTCGGGAAATTGGGAGTTTGATTCAGACAAGGACATCCATCTCTCCCTCTTCCCCGATCAGTTTCAGAGGGCAAGGGTAAGAGCCCAGTATTTAGCTTTGCCTGTTTTCTTTCAAAGTCTTAAATGCTTTATCTGTTTCTAACGTCTGTTCTCCTTGCAGCTGTTCGTCAGCCACAAAAAAATTTTCGCCAATCTTTTGTTCCCAGCAAGGATTTAAAGAAATTACTGGACCTGCCAGTTCAGAAGCAAAAGGCACCCCTGCTTCTCAACTTCATCCCAACATACAAATTAGCTCTCCCCGATGTCCCCAGGAAAAGGAAGAAGAAGAGCTTATCTCCTCCCTCTGCTACAATTCTTCCAGTTGCATCAACATCGCAAACAGACCAAGGATCAACCTCTGATCCAGTAGAACAACCGTCGACCTCGGCTCCATACCTCATTCCACCATCCCAAAGAAAGCGTCGCCGACGTCTTGTTCTTACAGCCGAGATGGGTCGCGTAAAGCCAGTTGCTAAAGACCTCCTAGCCAACATTCCATCATTCATTGACGAACAACCAACACAAACCCAACCAACAGCAAAACCAAAAAGAATAAAAAGGCTCAACCAAAGGCCAAGGTAGCTTGGGTTGAGTCTGAAGACACTCTCCCTATTTCAAAGTTAGCTGAGAGTGATAAATCCCAGCCTTCTGCTGGGAAGAGGCGTTCTGAGTCTCAACCACCAGAATCCCAACAATCCAAAAAGCCGAGGTCTTCCTCCGTAATAACTTCGGGATCAAAAAAACCCGATGCCCCCTAGGCCCCCACAATTACTTTGGAAGACAACCCTGTCATGGCGAGCGATAGTGCCGACGATATAAACGTCGGCGTCACACTTTGTACCGTTCTGCTTCTTCCAGGCGATCTGGAGCGAAATGCCCAGTACAGTGAGTATGAGAACTATGCCCTTATGCTTCAACACTTCGTTCAGGTAAATGTTTTCTATTTGGTATCTTTCTCTTTCTCTTTATTTCACACTTTGAATATTCTTTAATACCTCTGTTTTCTTTCAAGCCATCCAGCATGCCCACTCTTTCTCAATGCAGTCTTTTGAGAACAGGGAGAGGCTTGCCGAGATGAAAAGGGAGGTCTCCAGCCTCCAAAAGACCAATAAAGGCCTCCAGTCAAAAATGAAGAAGCTGGAAGACCAAGCTGAGGAAGCCATCAAGGCTCAGACCGAAGCCGACGAAAAGGCTGAGGCTGCTGAGGCCATTAGGAAGGTGGCCAAATCGCAAAGGAGAGAGGCCGAGGAAAAAATGGCCCAAGCTGAAAAGGAGCTTCAGAAGGCCCTGGCCACCAAAGAAGTTGAAATCAAAGATGCTGACGAAAAGGCGTACTCACAGGGTATGGCCGACGTTACTGAGGCCTATGAAAAACAAGTGAAGGAGGCATGCAACAAGGGTTTCACCCTTGGTTGGATGTCCCTTCTTAAAAAGCTTAATGTTCCTGATGATTCTCCATTGTGGAAGGCCGACACCATTCCTTTGCCATTTCCTCCAGCCCTAACTCCGAGTGAAGATATCGGCGAATCTGATGCTGAGGATGAGGCCAAGGAGGAAGAGGACGAGGTTCTGATTAGAAAATCAAAAGATGCTGATGGGGCCAAGTCCCCTCTTCAGAATGAGCAAGTCCTAGACTTGACTCAAGATGAAGAAGGCGATGAGGTTGTCCAAGAAGCTGTTCCCGACATCGCACCAGCCGACAACCCTTTTGAGGTCAAGACTGTTGAAGAAACTCTTTAAGAAATTGACGGTGAGATAGCGGCAGAGAAGGAGGCCGAGGTGGTATCTGATCTTCAAATTCAACAATCTGGAGGAGAGGAGCCTTAGCTCTAAGTTTTATGTTCTTCTTTTGCTTACTTGTATTTTGTTGCTTCTTTATCTTTTGGAACAATGTATGCTTTTTGTGTGGCCGACGTGCCCTTTGGTAAATGAATATACCTTTTCTTTTCCAAGTGCTTGCACTCCTGTCTTTTTTTTTTTTGTCTTTGCATGATTCTATACTTAGAATATTCTGCATATGTACACTCTTCCTTCTTTGTGTAACCTTCTCGGGGTGACATACCTCGGTTATGCCAACCGATGATATACCTCGGCAGTTTTCTTGTCTTTGGTTTATCTTCAACTTGTAAATTGCTACCAATTTCAACAAGTGAAAATAAACAATTATCTCGGCTTAACTTCAACTTGTAAATTGCTACAAATTTCAACAAGTGAAGATAAACAATTATCTCGGTTTAATTTCAACTTGTAAATTGCTACAAATTTCAACAAGCGTTAAGCATTACTTCGGTTTAACTTCAACTTGGAAATTGTTACAAATTTCAACAAGTGAAGATAAACAATTATCTCGGCTTAACTTCAACTTGCAAATTGCTACAAATTTCAACAAGCGTTAAGCATTACTTCGGTTTAACTTCAACTTGTAAATTGCTACAAACTTCAACAAGCGTTAAGCATTACTTCGGTTTAACTTCAACTTGTAAATTGCTACAAATTTCAACAAATGAAGGTAAACAATTATCTCGGCTTAACTTCAACTTATGAATTGCTACAAATTTCGACAAGCGTTAAGCATTACTTCGGTTTAACTTCAACTTGTAAATTGGTACAAATTTCAACAAGTGAAGATAAACAATTATCTCGGCTTAACTTCAACTTGTAAATTGCTATAAATTTCAACAAGCATTAAGCATTACTGTCTTCTCTCTGCCCCCAATGTGAACCTGAGTTCCACTTGGGTTCTCATTATTCAGAAATAATCATTATGCATCTTTTATCAATTCACAAGTCTTTGGAGAACTCTGCTAAAATTTTATTGATGATGTCGGTAAAAAATAACAACGAACATCTAATGATAGAAAAATTTCAAATTACAAGTGTTCCAGGGTCTTGGCAATGCTTTGCCCTCATTGTCTTTAAGTCGGTATGCTCCATTGCCCAATACCGAAGTGATTCTGTAGGACCCTTCCCAGTTTGGTCCAAGCTTTCCTTCTCTGGGGTCCTTCTTGTTGCCAACAACTTTTCTCAGGACTAGGTCGCCGACCTGAAATTCCCTTGGATTGACCTTATTGTAAGCTCTAGCAAGCTGCTGCTGGTATGCTGCGAGCTGAATTGCAGCTTTCTCCCTTCTTTTTTCTAAGAGATCCAGATCTGGGGCTAGGAGTATGTCATTTGTCCCATTCTCTACTCCCTGGGTTCTGATCCCTAGGATGCCGATCTCTAGAGGGATGACTGCTTCTGTGCCATAGGCCATGGCAAAGGGGGTTTCCCCTGTTGATTTTCTCGGCGTAGTCCGATATGCCTAGAGTACATTGGGCAACTCGTCTACCCACTTTCCTTTTGTTGCCTGTAGTCTCTTCTTTATCCCATCTAAGATTACTTTGTTGGATGCTTCTGCTTGCCCGTTGCTTTGGGAAAAACTTGGTGTTGAAAAGTAATTCCTTATCTTGAATTTCGCACAGAAGTTCTTGATGAGTTTGCTGTCAAACTGCATTCCATTGTCAGCAACTATTGCTCTTGGAATGCGAAATCTGGTGATGATATTTCTCTATATGTAGTTCTTGACATCCACAACTCGGATTTTGGCAAGAGGTTCTGCTTCTATCCACTTTGTGAAGTAATCTGTTGCTACCAGCAAGTAATTCCTTTGCCCAGTTGCTTGGGGCAACTGCCCAATGAGATCTATGCCCCATTGGGCAAATGGCCATGGACTGGATACAGGGTTCAGGTCAGCAGCTGGCTGGTGTATCAAAGGTGCGAATCTTTGGCATTGTTCACACTTCTTTACGTAGGCTTCTACATCTTTTTGCATGTAGGGCCACCAATACCCCTGGGTAATAGCCCTATGAGCTAGTGATCTGCCCCCAACGTGGCTTCCACAAATCCCTTCATGAATTTTGTATAGAAAATCTTTAACCTGCAAAGGGTGTACGCACCTTAAAAGGGGTCCAGTGAAAGAAAAGGCTTGGTCCGTTACTGTCCATTACTGGCCATCTATTCTTCTAAGTTTCCCACAAACGGTGCCAAATTATGTGAGTGATTTTCTGATCACATTGTCCGTTTAGTAATCAGCTAGAGAGCACCGGCAGAATAGATGACTTCAGCTAACCTGTAACAGAAAGAAAAGGCTCCGGCGGTAGCGCTTCCACCCGGGGGCACTTCGACGATCAAGTCAGTATATCTCTCAAAGATATTCAAGTGCTAAACTCACTACTGAAAGCATAAAATTGCGTACCTTAGACCCACGGGGGTGCCTCTCTTTTATAGTTTACTCAATCCAAGTCCCACTAGAAGCCTGAC